CCTGGCGTGGCGTCTGGCCGGCTGGGTGTGTGCGGGGTGGGGGGGGGTGCATATATCCTGCACATGGGGGGAAAGAGGGGGAACCTCAGGCCGGCCCTGGGTGGGCAGGGGGCAGGGAGGGCTGGGGCACTTGTGCAGGGGGTGGGAGGCGAGGCCTCGTGCCATCCCCATGCAGTGTCCCGTTTTCCCTTTGGGAAAATATGGTCACTCTACTTCACCTTTTCCCATCCACATCCATTGTTATAGGTTTTTGTGACACTCTGTGAACTTTCACTCACTCCTCACAGCTGAGCTCACAATCAGGGTAAATTTCTAGGCCTAGTTATCACAACAGACCCCACGTTGCAAAAGTAAATAGTGTTGGGACCTGGTGACAAAGTGACTCACAAGCGAGTGGTTCAGGTTCAGTGGATAGGTTGTTGGCTCTGGGATTGGTTCTTTACACCCCATGCTGTTTCCAGCATTCAAAGCCTCATGAAGCATTCTTTCAGAAGCCTGATATGGAAGACTGGTGCAAAGAAGTGGGAAAGCAGCCCTCAATACCTAATCTCCAGTTAATGTTCTTGGTGATGCTCGTGCCAGAGCCCAGCATCAGTCACTTATTCTCAACAGAACCAGGGCACTGTTTAAAGCCCACAATGAACAAGACTCTGGATACCTAAGGGATGGACCCTCCCTTCACAACTGGCCCAGCAGCTGCTCTCTGTGGTGGACACTATGATCCCAAGGGAAATGCGGTGTTGGAGGCACAGTGTTTTCAGCGGAAGGCCCTTGGCCGCAGAACTGTCTGGCTGCAGAACCGCCAGAACTGACTAGGCTGAGCCCAAGTCGTCCTACTGGCCACTGATTTTTGGGTGCCACTTTTCCAATTCCACGCAGGGACAATGGCTGCAGCCTAGCCGGGGCTGCTCTGCCCGCTGAGGCAGAACCAAGGAAAACTTCCACGCAGAGAGCCAGCCCCGCAGCAAGGGAGAGGTGGGGAATCTGGCCCTTCGAGAGAGAATCTGTGCTTTTAATTATGGATCCTTCACCTCCATGCTATGCTGATGAGGGACAGATCAGAGAGCGGTGACAGACAGACCGACAGATAATGGAAGAAGCCTGCAGCCTGTCTCCCTAGGGTGGTCATTTATGCAACTCAGGCCACAGAGATACCGCCCCAGCATGTGTCCCATCAGAAGGTATCCTCCTTGCCAGGGCTCCCTGCTTTCCATCCTTTGCCCAAACTTTCTGCTCGTTCACAGCTTTCCCCAGGGTTCTTCCTGCTGCCGCTCCCTGAAAAAGAAGCCTACCAGGTGGAACTGTACATTCAGATAAACAGTGTCGTCAAGGCAGGTGTCATCATCTTGGTTTCTGTCCTCTTTCCCAGTTCTGAATACTAACAGGGTAACCCATCCATGGCGACCTAGCTTCCGCGCATGCCCCTGTGTTACCAGCCACCGCCGCTTGAACCCCACAGTGATCACAGGGGTAACAAAGATCCCCGGCTCTCCGGGCACAGGCCCCTGCCACTGCCTGGGTCTACCACTGCCAAGGCTATCGCATTGACACTTACTGCCCTCCACCAAAGTAGAGCAGGGCTCCCATGTGCTCAGTGCTTCGTCCAGCTTAGTAGAGAGGTTATATTACCCCTCTATGTGGCACTGGTGTGACCTCTGCTGGAGTGCTGTGTCTAGTTTTGGTCAAGAATTAAAGAAGGATCTTGAAAAACTGAGTTAGAGATGTCATGAGAATGATTAAAGGATTGGAAAATGTGCCTTATAGTGACAGACTGAAGGAGTGCAATCTACTGAGCTGAACAAAGAGATGATCAAGCGGTGACTTGATCACAGTCTATAAGTATCTACCTGGGAACGGAAATTTAATAACAGCGGGATCTTCAATCTAGCAGACGACAGTATAACAAGATCCAATGGCAGGAAGTTGAAATTAGACAATTTCAGACTAGAAATAAGGCACAAATTTTTAAGAGTGAGGATGAGTAACCACTGGAACAGTGTACCGAGGGTGCTGGCGGATTTTCCATCCCTGGAAATGTTTAATGTTCTTCTAAAAGATATGCTCTAGTTCAAACAGGAATTAATTCAAGGATGTCTTGTGGTTTGTGTTATGCAGAGGGTCAGGCTGGGTGGTCCCGTCTGGTCTTTTAATCTATGAATCTAAATCCAAACACCACACTGTCAAATCCCAGTTTTAGAACTTTTCATGTTGGCTCATTACTTCTTCTATTTGAAGCAACCTCTCAGGAGCTTGAAAATAACATTTCTTCCCCTACCAAATGTTCTCCCTCTCCCTATGGCAAATGTTAATTTCTTTGCCTATGTTTTTGATGGGGCCTGGCTGCCTTCAGATTTCTTACTTTCTTGTCTGAGTAACAGCATCACTAATGATAGCAGCACAGCTCTGGGAAAGGAGACTGATGGTGCACGAGTGTTTATTTTGCCAGCTGGCTCTGCAGGAGCAGAGCAGAAACACTGTAGGGTCTATATAAACACACACATATATATTTCCAGTCTTGGCAACAAAATGGTAGATTAAAAGAATATGGATTTTGGAGAACATAACATAAGAACATAAGAATGGCCCTACTGGGTCAGACCAAAGGTCCATCTAGCCCAGTATCCTGTCTTCCGACAGTGGCCACTGCCAGGTGTTCCAGAGGGAATGAACAGAACAGGGTAATTATCAAGTGATCCATCCCCTGTCGTTCATTCCCAGCTTCTGGCAAACAGAGGCTAGGGACACCATTCCTGCCCATCCTGGCTAGTAGCCATTGATGGACCTATCCTCCATGAATTTATCTAGTGCTATTTTGAACCCTATTATGGTCTTGGCCTTCACAACATCCTCTGGCAAGGAGTTCCACAGGTTGACTGTGCGTTGTGTGAAGAAATACTTCCTTTTATTTGTTTTAAACCTGCTGCCTATTAATTTAATTTGGTGACCCCTAGTTCTTGTGTTATGAGAAATTGTAAATAACACTTCCTTATCTACTTTCTTTACACCAGTCATGATTTTATAGACCTCAATCATATCTCCTCTTAGCCGTCTCTTTTCCAAGCTGAAAAGTCCCAGTCTTATTAATCTCTCCTCATACGGAAACCGTTCCATACCCCTAATCATTTTTGTTGCCCTTTTCTGAACCTGTTCCAATTCCAATATATCTTTTTTGAAATGGGGCAACCACATCTGCACACAGTATTCAAGATGTGGGTGTACCATGGATTTATATAGAGGCAACATTATATTTTCTGTCCTATTATCTATCCCTTTCTTAATTATTCCCAGCATTCTGTTTGCTTTTTTGACTGCCGCTGCACATTGAGTGGATGTTTTCAGAGAACTATCCATAATGGCTCCAAGATCTCTTTCTTGAGTGGTAACAGCTAATTTAGACCTCATCATTTTATATGTATAGTTGGGATTATGCTTTCCAATGTGCATTACTTTGCATTTATCAACATTGAATTTCATCTGCCATTTTGTTGCCCGGTCACCCAGTTTTGAGAGATCCTTTTGTAGCTCTTCGCAGTCTGCCTGGGTCTTAACTATCTTTAGTAATTTTGTAGTCATCTGCAAATTTTGCCACCTCACTGTTTACCCCTTTTTCCAGATCATTTATGAATATGTTGAATAGGACTGGTCCCAGAACAGACCCCTGCCAGACACCACTATTTATCTCTCTTCATTCTGAAAACTGACCATTTATACCTATCCTTTGTTTCCTATCTTTTAACCAGTTACCAATTCATGAGAGCACCTTCCCTCTTATCCCGTGGCAGCTTACTTTGAATAAGAGCCTTTGGTGAGGGACCTTGTCAAAGGCTTTCTGAAAATCTAAGTACACTATATCCATTGGATCCCCTTGGTCCACATGTTTGTTGACCCCCTCAAAGAATTCTAGTAGATTGGTGAGGCATGATTTCCCTTTACTAAAACCATGTTGACTCTTCCTCAGAGGGCATGCTCTCCCACCCCCCACCCCCCGTACCAGATTCAAACCAATTTAAAGGAGATCAGCTTTTGGATGTACACTGCATGACAGCACTATTTTGATTTTGATAGGGATTGAGGATATGATTAAATGATTAAAAGTCTAGAAAATATGACCTATGAGTAAAGCTAAGCTTTAGTCAGAGGTATTTTTAGTAAAATTCATGGACAGGTCAAGGGCAATAAACAAAAAGTCACAGCCCCGTGACCTATCCACAACTTTTACTAAAAATACCTGTGACTAAATCTTACCTGCTGGGAAGGGGGCACTCCTGAAGACTACTGCTGGGGGGGGGGCAGTGCAGGTGACACTTCTGCTGGGCGGGCAGCCTGGGGCCCCTTGCCGCTGGAGTGGGGGATGGCCCATGGCCCTGCTGCTGCTGCCACTCTGGGTGGGGGACAGCCCAGGGCCCCACCGGGACCGCTGCTCCAGGACAGTGCCGGGGACCAGGTGCCTGGGGCTGTCAGAGCAGCGGCCGGTGCGGCTGGCCCCGGGGCTTCCCCTGCTGCTGGGGTGGTCCTGGGGTCAGCCACACCAGCGCAGCTGCACCAGAAGCTGTGATCTCCGTGAATGATTCACAGCCTTACCCATGAGGGAAGATTGAAAAAATTGGGTTTGTTTAGGCTGGGGAAGAGAAGACTGGGGGAAGGGGGACATAACAGTTTTTAAGTACATAAAAGGTTGTTACAAGGAGGAGGCAGAAAAATTGTTCTCTTTAACCTCTGGGCAAGAAGCAATGGGCTTAAATTGCAGCGGTTTAGGTTGGACATTAGGAAAAACTTCCTGACTGTCAGGGTAGTTAAGCACTGGAACAAATTACCCAGGGAGGCTGTGGAATCTCCGTCACTGGAGATTTTTAAAAGCAGGTTAGACAATCACCTGTCAGGGATGGTCTAGATAATATTTAGTCCTGCCTTGAGTGCAGAGAACTGGATTAGATGACCTCTTGTGATCCCTTCCAGTCCTACAATTCTATGATTCTATATGTTCACTAGTGAATACTGATCTGCAATTACTTGGTTCAGCCACAATGTGAGCATTCTGAATCCACATACCTGCCGAACAAAGAACTTTATTCTGGCAGCTAAGAACTCCTTGAGGGAACCATGGCAATTAACTAATTTGCTAATCTAATAACCCACTTCAAAACAACCTGATTCAGGGGCAGACTCCAGTAAAATGAAGCATTCTGTTGCCAATGCAAACACCTTAAGTGTCTCACTTGTGCTCAGCCTGAGGGTTACAAATAAGTCCAAAGTGGATCGTGACCATCCTCTCTTTCCTTATGGCTAGAGGGGAGGTTGGCATGTGATGGGATGTAGAAACCCCCAACCAGGCAAGGAAAGGTTAAAACAGCTTTGAGCTCTGGCAGCCCCGCCCTGCCACACCTACTAGGCATGCCAGTTTTGAAGGAGGAGCCTTAAAAGGGAGAAGCTAAATCCAGAAGGGCCCAGCCTGGGAGGTGGACAGACCTCTCCCCGTTAGCTCCCAGTCAGGAGTACTGAGGTGGGACGGAGCTGGTCCTGCGAGCGCTTCACAATAGCCCTGAGACCCGGAGCCGAGCCATGGCTCATCACGTATCTCCCAACAGGAGGAGCCCAAGAAAGGACATGTTTGGACTATTCTGATATTGTGCTTTTTCTTTGGTGCCTTTCCTCCAAGGCCTGCAGAGGGCTGGGAAAGAAGGCCTGAGGCAGGCTGCAGTAGGACATAGCCCAGGGAAGAAAGAGAAGGTCTGAAGAAACAGACCTTCATCACCAGCTACAGGGGCTCTGGGCTGGAGCCCATGGTAGAGGGAGGTGCCGAGTTCCCCTGCAGGCCACCAGGGAACAGTCTGCAGAAAGCTCCAGACAATGGTCATAAGGACTAGCAGACCTCGGGTTAGGCTGGTGAGCAGGCTGCTAGACTGTTACTGGGCTGGGTAAACAGTGAGGTGGCAAAATTTGCAGATGCTACAAATTACTGACTTACCCCGAAAGCGGTGAGAGTCCAGTCACAAGACGAGGGGATCTCCACCAGACCTGCACAGCCGGTCAGCAGGGCTTCAGCGTGGGAATTTCCTTTCACCTGGATTTAAAGAATGACCCAGTCTTTCTCCCCTCTTCCTTGCTTGCCTTCTCACCTTTTACACATGTACAATCAGAGGCCAATACAGACAATGTTTGCCAGGTCAGAAGGGGCTGCCTTCCAGTTACACACTGGTTGGCCAGTCAGAATGCCAGGATTGTTTTTGTACGAGGGCGTTTGGGGCTGTGTTTGGGATGATGGGATCTGTCCCCTGCCTCCTCTGTTTTAAACGCAGCAGTAAGGGAAGGACCCAGATAAAGGGATATGGGAAAACTGACTCCTTCTGGAGGGGGCCTGAAGTTTTAAGCAGCCAATGAGCCTGTTGGTTGCCATGGCAACAGTGATGATCTTCCACACTGAGGCTGGCTATGGACCAGCACTTTAACTCAAGGCAGCTCTGGCCAACCCTGTCTCCATGCCTAGGAGAGATCACAGCACAGGAGCCAAAAGGTACATACCAGCCTTTGTCCTAAGGCCTGTGGGAACAGCAGGCTGGTTCCCCGCTCCCTCTTCCTCCTGCTGAATTCGGCTGGGAATATTTGTGTCTGACAATGATATGGCAGTTTGCCCCCGGGGCTGGCTCAGCCCTCAATTGGAGCTCAGAAAGTTAGGCAAACCTGAGAACAGCAATGCATTCTTCCCCCAAGGAGGTGCCTTCTTTGCATCCAGGAGCTGCAAAGACAAGTGACAGGTGCATTAGTGCCTGTGTTAGAATGTAATGCTGTACAAACAGAGGATGTTTAGTGACTGTTGCTGCGATTCTTTGGATGTTGTTTTCCATTGAGATTTCCTTGCTGGTTCAGGCTTGAAAGAATAAAATAAAAAAAAAAAAAACGAAGTCAAAACCTGTCTATATTAGGGCTGTTTGTACTTCTGCTTTCAAATTGGGGAATGCCGCATGTTCCACTGGTGCAATGCATCTACGCTGGCTTAGCTCTATGGGTGTCAATATCCCCTCATGGGGTCTTCAGTCAAAACAGGGACAGTTCAGCTGGTTTTGTAAAGGTGAAGCTATGCACTTTGTGTGGTTTTGATGTGAAAGCACATGCAGGGCTGTGGGCTCATTCAAAGCCTACACCAGGCTTGCTTGGAGCCAGTGGGAGTTTTGGAATGTGAAAAGAATTCAGGATCCAACCCTAAATCATTGAAGTCGGCAGCATATGCAGCCAAACTAAATGCTACACATGACCAAACAGGCTGAGTTATGACTGCTCTGGGAACTATAACTTGGTCTTTTTGTGCATTTAAAATCTCTACCGTAATGCTGCACTGATGTGTGTGGGGGAGGTGGGTTGTATTTAATATAGACTATATAGATCTGCAGCGTATGGCACATTCACCACTGCTCGGTTTTCTCAGAGCTTTTATGCCTCGGCCTCTTTTTTAGGATTGCTGGTGATTTCTTCCCCAATGTTTTGCCTCCCGCTTACGGGCACTTTGTAACATGCTGCTTTTGCACGGAGTTGTGGAAGCATGTATGGAAGGGGTGTATTTGCAAGGGTGTGCATGCAAGCGGTATGAGCGTGTAGGGCTCTCCACCCCCGCCTCTGCAAAAGGCTGTGAGTAGGAAGCAGGTGGAATGCCTTCTTTGTATTTCACATTTACTCTTTAAGTATCCGAGCCGACCATTGTATGCACAACGAAACCTGCTCTCCCCAAACCACAAGAGCGAGTCGGAAAGTAAGACTTGCAACTAGCTCTTTCCACCGCTTGCAACTAGCTCTTTCCAGTTCCTGTTCAGACTTCTGAACAAAGCGCTGGGGCATTGCTGTCTGGTGCATTGAATCTGCAGCACGGAAGGGTGTGTTTGTTGCCCTGTTCCAACGCAGTCTCCACACTGTCGTTGTGAATAATAATACTTACTGCTCCGGGTAAGGCTGTACATTGCCAGCCCTTGCTTTACAGACACTCATCTCACCACATTCCCATGTGAGTTGGGAATTTTCACCCCTCCACAGCCTGGAAGGTGCCTGCTAAACCTTTTCTCTTTATATCCCCATACACACCCCTCTATCTATCTTAGGGTTCTATCCTGCCACCCATCACTGTGGTATCTGAGCATCTTCCAGGTGAAAGCAACAGCAACAACAAAGTCTCTGGTGCATTTCATGACACCACTGGCACGTCTCCCTATTCGGGGTCTAACCTCTGCTCGCAGCGTAGCTATTTTGGTGAGCAGGGGTTTAGGGGTGAAAGGGAGTGGCATGCTGTTGAGAACAAAGGTTCCCCCCCATCTTCCTCTCCTGTTTATTCTGTGGGGGCTTTGGGGAGCGTATAGAGGAGGCTGCTTTCCAGATACAACAGCCTCTCCTTAAAGTGCTCTGTTAACACTACACAGCCTCCTGGGCTGCTGCCATGAGCCCAGGCGCCTCCCCTTCCCCCTCCCTGTAACAAGCTGCCACTTCTGCTACATAGAGGCTGCAGCCTGCTGGAGTTGTTATGCTGCTAATTGTGGGGGCGAAGGGGGGCAGGGTTGGCATCTCTGGCTCCTTCCAATCAATTACAGCCTCCTGGGAGTGAAACCAGAGCCCATCCAGGAGCTGCACAGCAGCCATGGACTCCATAGTCCAATGCCCAGCTCTCTGTAACCCTTTGGCTGCTGGCACCGCCCCCATGGTTCCCATCCAGTCATGTGCTGTTGGGATTTGCTGTAACCTCTGGGGTCAGTGCATGTGGCGGTCACATCTCTTATTAGCTGGGGAGGCTCTGGGTGCATGGGTGAGCAACGGAGCAGCTAGCAAAGGCACCTTGCAGCAGGCTGTACTGCCTGCAAGAGCCCATCTGGAAGCAGTTTTTTCCCTTCCTCTCAGAGCTCTAGCTGTTGCGCTGTTAATTGTGCTGTCTGTGGGATGGAGGAGGAGGAGGAGGAGGAGTGTGTGCAAAGGGATGTTCTAGTAGTGCATGCCACCCCCACCCTGCCAGCAGTTCCTTGTGGCTTGTAATGCTTCTGAAAGACGACTGGGGGATGGGGAGGAGACAGAAGGAACTTGGGCTGAGGATATAGGCTAAGCGTCTAGATTTTCTGTAGCCAAGTATTTCCTGTCTGCGTTGTCTTAGAGAGACAAGGCGGGTGACACAAGGTGTCTTAATCAGTTGCTTGCTTGCCGGGTGCCCTCAAATAGCTTCATTAGACGTGACAGGTGGCTGGAAACATGCCTCCCTCTCCAGACGTTAATTACGTTGCAGTTGGTAAATAACATTCCAGTGCTACTTACCTCCACCCTCTTTGCACTAAGGGGGCAAAGAAATGACAACCCCTGGGAGGGGAGATCAGCATTGTTTCATGAGCGAAGCTGAATGCAGGTTAAGTTGAAAAAGTGGAACTTTAGTCAATTCTGTGGACTGCTCTGTCCACATGGCTGAGTTGCTTCCCGCCCAATTCTCCACATTCCCTGTTCTGCTGCTGTGCCCTCAATAACAGACATTCCAGGGAACATAGGCCCTCTGATTCCAGTTCCACTGATCATGATACGTTGCCCCTATTTTTCAAACATTAAAAACAAAGAATTGGCGACCAGACCCCCATCCCGAGTCCCTTCGGCCTCAGGTTGCTAGATAGCTGAGTTGGAGGCTCATCTTTACCACAGACTCAGCTGGTCACATAGTCTTTGAGCTAGAATGGTCTCCTCAACAGGCAACTGCATCACAAGTCAGGATCTCTGTCTCCAAGTCTAGCAAGCTTGTGAAATCTCCTCCCTCCCTGTGGGGTTGGCCTCCAGATGGTTCTGTCTCTCTCTGATCCACGGTGATCTCTGTAGACTCTCTCCAGATGCTGGGTCTGTTGACTCGTAAGTCCCTCCTGTTCCTTTGGATCACCTGTCCCTCCGGCATAGTCACCTCCTATGATTTAGGTGACACTGCACCCCTCAGCACTCCTTTGGTCCACTCCTTCTGGTGTCTAATCATAGAACTGGAAGGGACCTCGAGAGGTCATCTAGTCCAGTCCCCTGCACTTAAGGCAGGACTAAGAATCTAGACCATCCCTGACAGGTGTTTGTCTAACCTGCTCTTAAAAATCCCCAATGATGGAGATTCCACAACCTCCCTGGGCAATTTATTCCAGTGCTTAACCACTGTGACAGTTAGTAAGTTTTTCCTAATGTCCAACCTAAACCTCACTTGCTGCAATTTAAGCCCATTGCTTCTTGTCCTATCCTCAGAGGTTAAGAAAAAAATTTTTCTTCCTCCTCCTTGTAACAACCTTTTACATACTTGAAACCTGTTATCATGTTCCCTCTCAGGCTTCTCTTTTCAGGACTAAACAAACCCAATTTTTTCAATCTTCCCTCATAGGTCATGTTTTCTAGACCTTTAATCATTTTTGTTGCTCTTCTCTGGACTCTCTCCAATTTGACCACATCCTTCCTGAAATGTGGTGCCCAGAACTGGACACAAATACTCCAGTTGAGGCCTAATCAGAGCAGAGTAGAGTGGAAGAATTACTTCTCGTGTCTTGCTTACAACACTCCTGCTAATACATCCCAGAATGATGTCCGCTTTTTTTGCAACAGTGTTACACTGTTGATTCATATTTAGCTTGTGGTCCACTATGACCCCCAGATCCCTTTCCACAGTACTCCGTCATAGGCAGTCATTTCCCATTTTGTATGCATGCAACTGATTGTTCCTTCCTAAGTGGAGTACTTTGCATTTGTCCTTATTGAATTTCATCCTGTTTACTTCAGACCATTTCTCCAGTTTGTCCAGATCATTTTGAATTTTAATCCTATCCTCTAAAACACTTGGAACCCCTCCCATCTTGGTATCGTCCTCAAACTTTATAAGTGTACTCTCTATGCCATTATCTAAATCATTGCTGAAGATATTAAACAGAACTGGACCCAGAACTGATCCCTGCAGGACCCCACTTGTTATGCCCTTCCAATATGTCTGTGAACCACTGATAACTACTCTCTGGGAATGGTTTTCCAACCAGTTATGCACCCACCTTATAGTAGCTACATCTAGGTTGCATTTCCCTAGTTTATTTACGAGAAGGTCATGCAGTACAGTATCAAAAGCTTTACTAAAATCAAGATATACTACGTCTACCACGTCCCCCGTATCCACAAAGCTTGTTACCCTGTCAGAGAAAGCTATCAGGTTGGTTTGACATGATTTGTTTTTGACAAATCCATGCTGCCTGTTACTTATCACCTTATTATCTTCTAGATGTTTGCAAATTAATTGCTTAATTATTTGTTCCATTATCTTTCTGGATACAGAAGTTAAGCTGACTGGTCTGTAATTCCCTGGGTTGTCCTTATTTCCCTTTATATAGATGGGCACGATATTTGCCCTTTTCCAGTCTTCTGGAAACTCTCCCATCTTACATGACTTCTCAAAGATAATCGCTAATGGCTCAGATATCTCCTCAGTCAGCTCCTTGAGTATTCTAGGATGCATTACATCAGGCCCTGGTGACTTGAAGACATCTAATTTGTCTAAGTAATTTTTAACTTGTTCTTTTTCTGTTTTAGGCTCTAATTCTACCTCATTTTCACTGGCATTCACTATGTTAGATGGCAAATCACCACCAATCTTTTTGGTGAAAACCGAAACAAAGAAGTCATTAAGCACCTCTGCCATTTCCACATTTTCTGTTATTATTCCCCTCCCCACCCCACCCCATTGAGTAACAGGCCTACCCCGTCCTTGGTCTTCCTCTTGCG